GAAGCAGCGAGGAGGTATTCTCTCCAGTCTCATTTTTACCTTCTTTATTTCCTCTTCTTTTATATACATTATTTATTCTGTTCTCTTTTACACTGTAAAGTTTCTCCTCGTTCAACCATTCTCGAATCCCATCCTCTACTTGTGAAATATTTTTTTATGAGATATTCTTATATTGGGATTTTATATACTTCGTATGATATTTTGATTTATTTTATTCTTATATTCTTATACTCTTATGTTCGAAATTTTGTTATTGGGATTTAATATACTTCCTATGATATTTTGATTTATTGGGATGTTTTCATACCATAATCTTGGGAAATTTTTTTTGGATTGTTGTTGGTCTATACAGTTACTTTTCCCCAATTTGAGGTGAATTGTATCTGCAATATTTGTATGTTGTTGCCTGAAAAAGGTGGATGCTATATTTAATTAAGGAAGAGTTAGGTTGGAGTCAATCTTGGTTGCAAATTGTATCAATGTGTGTAGTAGATTGTCAAAGCACTTTTCACTAATAAGAAAGCTCAAACAAGTTGGCCGTCCAACAAGGTGTTCTTTGATCTTAAGACTAAATGTTCAAGCCTTTTCAATTTATGCAGTCCAAGTTTCAATATTATAACAACATTGAATCCGAATTGTAGTACTCCGTAATGCATTTTTTTTGCTGAATTGCTTTAGCTTTACTTTGAAGACTACAATAAATTTTTAGCAGATATTTCGTGCCTTAGAACACCTAAAACTTTACATTTTGGTTGTATAAATTAGAGTCAGATGGTTTAAGAATCACTCATTTGAAAAGTTAGCTCTCTTTAAGGAAGTTTTCTTTAAAATCTATTCCATAGAAAGTGGGTTTTTATTGGATATATATTCCCGAAGTTGTATTACAACTCTGGCCAAGGACAAAATCTATACACATATCAATTTTGATGAAATGACAATTCATCAGGCACTGCAACTTGGAGAGGAACTATACCCTTCATCTCCCTATGTGGTTGGCAATGAAAGATGTCATATGTGTTTACGTTCTGATCTGCTCCATAAAGTAATGGACAAATTATCAAAGCCAGGTGTGAGTCCGCTTGTAATTGTGGAGGCTGGAAGCAAGCTTGTTGAATAGGCAGAGAGGTGTTGATAGACAGAGAGGTTTGTAATGGACAAATTATCAAAGCCATATGTATTTCGGTTCTTACTTGAATAGGCACGGAGGTGTTGAGCTTGACTACCCTATAAGCCCTTGGTGATCTAATCTTTTAATGCTTTAATGTATACACATCTGGATTGGCATGTGTGCCCGCTGCTGTTGCTTTTATTTTTATTATTATATTATGTTGTCTTAGGATGTTTTTACTTGGACTGTAATTTGCTGGTCTGGTCTGATCTGGTCTGGTCTGGTCTGGTAAGGTCTGGTTTCTTTGTATTTTTATAACTATCCAAGTCTGGTCTGGTCTGGTCTGGTCTGAACTGGTCTGGTCTGGACTGGTCTGGTCTGGTCTGGTCTGGGGCAAATTACAGTCCAAGTAAAAACATCCTTAAGCTTCAAAATGAGGCGTGGTGTAAATTGATTATTTGATTTTCATTTGTTAAAAAAAGCAGGTTTTTAATAGCGGTAGTTCTACCCTTGCACTTACACTTATTTTTTCATATATAAGACAGCTTTGAAATGTCTGTATATATATAGCAAATTACTTTGCTTTTGTTTCACAATGGTTAAAACGAGATGACGCTTTATTCATTTTCGGTTCAAAGAAACGTGGTGATTGCTAGTTCAAGATGACATATTTGAACCATTGAAATATAAGACAATATTCAACAATGAAGGAGGAGAAGTAGAAGGTCAAGGAAGTAAAGAAGAAATAGATGGAGCATAATGTGGGCACATAGCATACAAAGATGAATTTACGAGACCAAATTGCTAATAGATTAGTGGTAAATGCTTAAATTTAACATGTTGTAATATTCTTGAATTTTTAAAGTCATGCTTTGTAAATAGACAATATATATTCAACACTTATCACAGCCAGAAGGGTAATTAGTAACTTGATATAATTCAGACAACACATTCAGCACACGAAGTAAACAGCTTGTTATTCTAGTGTCACTTAATCCAGACAGACGTCTTAATCTAGACAGACGTCTTAATCCAGACAGGACTTAATGGAAAAACAAGTAAACAACCCCTTAGTCTGCTTGGGAGATGAAGTTTGGGCTGCCGAATTGAAGATCAGAAGGATACGTACGTTCTAGACTTTCCAAAGTTACTTTTTTGTCCTGGACTAAATTAGTCATATTTTGGTCCAACAAAACCCTAGAAGTACTCTCTCTGTCATGTTTTGGTTGTCCTACTTTGCGTTTTGAGTTGTTCCAAAATGAATTTTTTTATTTTTTTGGTAAGAAATAAGTGATCCCTATCATTTTCCTTGAATTCAACTCAAATTTCAATCGTAAGGTTTATTTTTCAACCACTTTATTAATAATGTGCAAAATTAAAATAGGATAACCAATAGGTTTAAATATGGTTTTAGTCCCGGCAAAAATGACACACTTTGTTTTAGGTCCCTCCAAAATATTTTCTTTGTTTTCATCCCTGTAATATGCTCTATTTTGGTTTTAGTATATCTCTAATTTTGAAACAACTCTACTTAGAAAAATGTTTGTTGTCAGTTGCATAAATCTACTATAAACATTTAAATTTATCATTTAATAATTTTTTGAGTCTAATACTACGTATGCGAGTTAAAACAATATAAAACTAATTATTCTCATTTTTAAAATATGTATTAAAACCCTTCTAAAAATGAAATTAAATACGGAGTACATTTTAAATGTCATGACAACAAATTAGAGAAAACCTATTATTCGGGGATGTTTTGTTGTCGAACGAGGTTGTTATCATTGGTCATGGACTAAAAATAAAACCAACATAAATTTCACGGATAGAAAGCAAAGAAAATATTTTGCAGGGACATAAAACAAAGTGTGTCATATTTGCAGGGACTAAAAATATATTTAAGCCTAACCAATATGTAGTAATATTTCAGGCATTTAAGTTTCATATTAAAGCACATGATCTTAGAGCATCTTCAATGTTAAAACGTGGACGGTGCATACGTGGCATGAGAGGTAGCCAATTAAAAAATAATAAATAGAATATCTTTCTCCTTATTTGAATGATCTTGTATCATTTTGGTAACTTTTTATCCACAATGTCAAGCACAATATCTAGATGTAGACATTATGCTTGACATTGCAAAGAAAAACTTACAAAAAACACATAAAATCGTGAAAATAATGAGAGAGAAATGTTTTAAATTTAATTTTTTGTGTCTATATCTCTCCTATCACATGCACCGTGCACATGATGTCATGATTCGATAAAACCATGATTGCGAGTCTTATACCCTTTTTAACCCTCCTCCAAAGAGAAAAGAGTATTGCTTCTTGAACTAGAATGTTTCAGAAACATCACTCTATTATGGGAGCGATGGGGGTATGATTTTTGTGGATCAAAGTATAGTCTCACTAAGGTGCTGTTCTGTTCGTCTTATTCTTATTACTTATTGTTTATTCTTATTTTATTCAGATCAGATCAGATCAGAAAAATTCAGATCAGATCAGATCAGATCAGAAAGATTCAGATCAGATCAGATCAGAAAGATTCAGATCAGATCAGAAAGATTCAGATTAGATCAGAAAGATTCAGATCAGATCAGACCAGATCAGAAACATTCAGATCAGATCAGAAAAGTTCAAACATGATTTATCATTTTTATTATTATATTAAATATTAATTATTATTACTAATATTGTTATTACTATTATGATTATAATAGTTATAATATTTTAATATAATAATAGTAATATAAATGCAATTGTTAAGAAGACTATTATTATTATTATTACAATATTATAATAATATATGATTAATATTATTATAATATTATATTATAATTATATGTAATTATAATTACAATTACAATTATAATTCTTATAATTATAAGTATAATCAATTGTAATTATTATAATTATATCTATAATTAATTATAAATATAATTGTAATTAATTATAATTATAATAATTATAATTATAATTACAATCATAATTATAATTATAATTATAATATAATATTATAATAATATAATACTAATTATAATAATAATCATATTATTATTATATTATTGTAATAATAATATTATAATATTGTTGTAATAATAATATTAATATAATAATGTCGTTATAATAATATTAATTGTATTTATATTACTATTATTAAATTATAATATTATAATTAATGTTAATATAATTATAATTATTATTAATTATAATTATAATAATTATAATTGTACTTATAATTATATTATAATTATAATTTATGATTATAATTATTATTTTTATTATAATTATTAATATTATTATTATTATTATTATTACTATTTTAATTATTTTACGGAGTAATTATAATAATATTGATAACCATAGTTACAATTATAGAAATAAATATTGTAATTATAATTAAAATTATAATTATAATTTTATTTAAATTATATTTGTAATTGCAATTATAATAATTATAATTATAATAATTATAATTATAATTATAATTATAATTATAATTATAATCATAGAAATATTCGAATCAGATCAGATCAGAAAGATTCAGATCAGATCAGAAGGATTCAGATCAGATCAGAAACATTCAGATCAGATCAGACCAGATCAGAAACATTCAGATCAGATCAGAAAGATTCAGATCAGATCAGATCAGAAAGATTCAGATCAGATCAGATCAGATCAGACAGATTCAGATCAGATCAGATCAGATCAGAAAAATTCAGATCAGATCAGATCAGAATTTAAAAAATTCAGATCAGAAACATTCAGATCAGGCGAAGAGAACAGCTTCTAAGCCTTATTAAAAGTCAAAAATAAGTTAAATAACCACAGTAACTGACCAATTTCCTGGACTCTTTTAAACAGGACTTTTCGAATCATTTAAGTTTCATTTTAAGCACATGATCTTATCAATGGCGCTTCCATCGGGGTTTCGCGAGAGACTGGAACAAATGGAGGAGACCAGAAACCAACGCCTCTCTCTCCTTCAGGTCGCTCCTTTAAAAAAATTTAGGCATCTAGAGTTTCTATCGAAAAATGCAAACTTAGAATCGGTGATTAGTGATCATACAGGCAGAGAAAGAGTTACAGACGACCAAGTCCGAGTTATTGGCCGCAAGGCTCTCCAACATCAAATTCGCAGAACGGCGCTGCTTTAATCTCGAGCGTAAAATTGCTTCTCAGCAATTATTTATATCATTTCTCAAATCCGAAAACGACCGTCTAGACACCGAGTATCTCCGCGCTCTTCAGGATGTCAGGCATGAATATCGGCACTTTCTCTAGCTTTCTAATTTTATTAGTTCATGTAATTGATTATATTAGCTATATGCTCATTAGGCTGAATGAATGAACTATGTACTTCTCATTTAATTAAATTTTACTTCTTTTTTCATTTGATAATTGCTCTGCAATTCGATTTCCAAACCAAAACCAGAAACTGTATGTAGCGGCTACCGCAATTATGCATCCTGAAATGCGTATTATATATTCCTCCTTCCCACATTTTGTGAGCTATGATTTGATTTCACCCCCTCACTTTTACGTTTTGTGACCCATCCTACTCTTTGCAAGGATGTCAATGACTCAAAATTATAATATGAAAACTTTATCTTTTATTTTTATTTTGTTAAAACCCGCCCTAAACCCACTTATATGAACCGCTATAGTATGTGTCATGGTCAATTGGTCATGTTAATTATAGACTTATAGTCATCATTTTTTCTTTCACATACTAGACACACTTTTATCTAAAACTGTTATACTACGGATCTTATATCAAAATGTGTGGTGCGCAGTATATCATTATTGGCAGGTAAAAAACAATCTATTTGAAGGTCAATTCATTGTGCAAATAAAGTGGAACTCCACATTGATATTTTCAACACGTATTTATCTTCTTCTTCAATCCTTCATATAACTTGGTCATTGTATATGTGATGTGTGCAACGTGGGAGTATGGTAGAGGAAGAATTGCATATCAATGGGCATTGGTTTTTATGCTTATTTTTAATGACCAGATATTTGAAGAATGAGGTGGAGGATCTGGGGGAACTAGAGAAAGAAAAGGAAAAATATTACACTTCCGAAAATGGGGAGATGAATGAATTCATGGAGCATTTGGAAAACTTTGTGGTTGAATTGCAAGTGCAAGTAGAGGAGCTGAGAAGTTACACCAATCAGGTCAGTATGTTCTGCTTCGTGGCCTATATCTGTTTACTTCATTTTATCAATTTAACTCTCTTGCTGAACAATGGTTATGCATTCAGCAATTCCTGATGTCTGTTTTCTTTGTCATGTTTGGATAGGAATTGATTACAAACTGGACTAATACATCGTATAATTGTACTCTGTATTATATATTTCAATGTTTGTTTCAGGTTTAATTTTACCCCCCTCATAAACCTCTCCATTGATAATTATGTTGTCTATTTGAGGTCTGTGCATATTAATTTTTTTGTTTTTCATTGTTTTACTTTTAGCCCCTAATCCTCTCTCTAGCAACCCTTGCTTAGACGAAATCAACTTGACTGGCATGATTTTTGTATATGGTGTTCATGCCATTTTATTGACAAGATATATCTGTCGTTCTCATGGAATACTTCTTTTTAAAAAGTACGTAAATTATGGAACCATGTTTCAGCTGAAGTCAACTTTTTCTGAATTGCAAGGCAACTCTAATCATTCAAATAACTCCGTGATTGCGGCTGCCGAGAGACGAAAGTCAGAGCTCCTTGCTGTCAAACAGAATCTGGAGAGAGATCTGTCTATGAAGCACCAATTAAGAGAGCAATTGAGAAGGCAACTTGTAAATCTGTTGATCAACCAGAAGCCTGCATAGAAGCAGTAGATTCATGTGTATAGGAAAGCCCATACACTTCCTGATGTCCAATTGTTATATGCCGGTTCCTTTGGTATACAGACTTCATTACCGTGCATTTGGTAAGGGTCTCATATTGAGCAATGAGCATCTTAATTTTTAAAGGTACAAATGGAGTGATTTACGGGGTTGTAGGCTGTCTGCAGCGCATGGGGTGAAATCCCAAATTTGAGGTATTCAGCCCAAGTATGCTCCAACCCAAGCCATAATTTCTAGGAAATGTATAGTTTTGATTGAGTAAGAAAAAGATAAATGAATGTTAGCCATACAAAACTTTTCAAAAAGAAAATGGGAAGATTTTTTTAGAAAATCCCAAAATAGTAAGTGAAAAGAATTTTAAGGATGGATGAAATATAAGAATGTGTTTTAGTGAATTCGGTGAACCCTTGGATGGGGAAGCTATACCCCTTAATCACCCGAAGAGAGAGAGGAACAGACATGGGGCCAACTTAAAACAAAATCCTAATTTTTGTTAAAGTGTTGCTCCCTTCATCGCACTAAGAATGTCTTATTTTTTCTTGTTGGTCTCGTTCCACTAAAATTGACACACACCTAATTTAGTCAAGTTTGTGTGGTTCTAAATCATTCTTACTTTATTGTTATTAATTTGAATATCAACCATACAACTCTATTTTTCTTATTAACTGCATCACCCCTTGATGTTTTAATGTTAGTGGAGGTGGTAGAGTCTAATAACCAACCGGGTATACAGGGTACCTGATCGGGTATCATTTGTAGTTTCTCGAAAAATGGCTTTTCAGGACATATTCGATCAAGTATGTCGGCGTACCCGATCGGGTATAAGCCAAGTCTTAAAAAATACTCCGCACGTTAGTTTGTTCTCATGATTGTGACACCACACCCGGACGTACCTAAAAATTTCGGTTAAAAAAATCTATTCATACATTTGATTACCCTATTGGCCTTGTTTGGTAATCAGCTGCTAGCTGTTAACTGTTAGCTGATTAAATTAGCTGCTTTGACCGGCTGGTTGTTATAGCTATTTTGACCGGTGGATTGGGTTAGCGGATTCTCTTTAAGTGTTTGGTAAAATTAGATGTTTGATAAATATAATGTATGAACTTATCCAACTTCTATGAAATTTTATTAAAATTATTTAGTTTGAGTGGTATATTTCATTTAATAGAAGGACGTACTTCTTAGAAAAATCAAATTTTAAATACAAATAATTACTTTACTAAAAAGTTATTTAGTTATATAAATCAATTTTTTTATTGATTTATTTACTTATTTATGTATTTATTTATTTATTTATTTATTTATATATTTATTTATTTACTTACTTATCTATTTATTCATTTATTTATTTATTTTCCACCGTGATTTAATAAGAAAAAATTACATAAATATAACTACTTTAAACCCCACTAACAAAAGTATGACTATTTACCCTATTTTTACTCCCATGTTGCCGTATGAGTTCCTCATTAACAGTCATATTTTTGTAACCCCAAATACTTTTGGTAATATTCATGTAAAAAACTCAGGACTAAAGAAAATGTTAGCCACGTAACTTTGTTCAGAGCAAAGAATTATACACGGAGTAGGATAATCTGATACCAAACGCTGCTCATAGCAGCTTCTTCAAACTTGGCGTTTCGAAGGAAAAAGCTGTCTTAAAAATCTGTTTTACCAAACGTCTATTTTGGCTGGTCAATTAGTCAAACCAGCTAAATATGATCAAACCAGCTAAAAATGGCTGATAGGTCATTTATCAAACAAGGTCATTTACTAAATATCAATCATGACTAAAACAATCAATGAATTAGTTAATAAATGATTAATTAAAATATTAACCGGGCGCGTGTTATATGGACGAACTAAATTGAGTTATTTTATTAGTTAGGGGAGCCCAATATAATACGATAGTATATGACAATTCTAGATATAGGGTTTGCTTAGGAATTGGGCTATGAATTACATAGTGGTGTAAAACAGCCGAGCTCTAAGAATGCATGGTGAAATAGTAGACTTGAGTTCGATGATTTGTATGATGTTGATCTAGGGCCGAGCTCTATGATTGCATGGCGGTGTAATAGAGCCGAGCTCTAGAAATGCAATTGTGATGTATTGGATTTGAGTCTTGCGTTTGCATGGTGATGTACTAGAGCTGAGCTCGATGAATGAAAGATAATGTACTAGGGTTGAACTATATGATTGTCGTGACTAGTAGTCATGGAGAATATGGAAGGCGATTTCAAAATGAACATGGGCCCACGGGCCGGCTACTTGACTTTATATAAAGTAAGTTTATTTTCAAACGGGGTAATTTAGGGTTACAGCCTAGATTATATTATCACCCTATTTGAGGGTTTTGCATTTGAAATACTTGCTTGTTGAATATCTATTAGATGTCATCCACAACATTACTTTATAGTTTCGGGAAAGTACTGGCCCCTTAGGGCTTGCTTCCTGTACTTGTTGCTCGAGTGTTCATCTTGGAGAGAAGACTTGGTTCGTGCTTCCTTCGTTATGTTTTTGAACAATAATAAACATGCTCATGGATATTTTACTTTAGAGCCTGCCTGCTCATGTTTACCCTGTGTGGCATTTGGATTTAAACTATACTTTCCGATGCGTATTGAATTACTTATTACGTTTGTTTATGGATTACTATATGTGTATGATATTCATTATGCCTTGTATGGTTTGGGTAAGCTTGACCGAGGTTGACTTATCTAGATTGTATGGCAGTTGAGCGTGTCCGGTGAGGTCCGAGGCGTGACAAGTACAAACATTTTGGTATTCTTAGAATTCTTAGATTCTACGGCAGTTAATAGAATTCTCATACATATTCATGATGATGTTGGTGTTCTTACATGATATGTCTATTCAGGTTAAGGCCTACCAAAGGACGACATCAAATTACCATATCCTAAGCCTTTTCTAATTCAATAAACACTAAATATAAATATTTGTCCGTGCCGCTATACTTATCCACAAGTTGCCTAAAAAGTGAATGAACAAAGTTGTTGAGCGATTAGGCGAAAAACTGAATTAATTCTCCGAAATCTTTACACTTTTTCAGAGCATTTGCTCAACCACTCTTTCTCAAAATTTTATAGTGTGACTCTTAAGATTAATCCTTCAATAGCTAGCAAATTTTCGTACCACACCTTTATTCATAAATAAGGGGTTAAGACACTTTTCACCAACTCACAAGAATTTTGTTAAGTTATTTCTCCAAATCTTATTCAAGAAACATGTTAACCACTTGATGCCTCTCTCCCGAACTTCTTCAGGCCTCGATCGGTATGTCATCCGAATCCATTATTTTTTCGTTCCATTTGGAGGTGACAAATAATAAATGGAGAAAACGTTATCAACTAGCATGGCATTCATTGTCACCTTGACATTTTCATGGAATTATAAATATTCTATTTGCAAGTGCCATAATATTGCCTTAGTCATGGAGTTACTGCCATACAAACGGTACTATGTGTAGAAATATCATTTTTTATATAAAATATATGACATTATTAGTATTGTATTTGCCACCCTGATGGAGTTAGTGTCATAAAAAATAGCACTGAGGGCATTGTGTCGAAACAATACTCTTAAATCAGAGTGCGTATATTACTATATTGTACAACCGGCTGTACGGTGAGCATAGCAAAAATAATTCGGTGGCATTTTTGTAATTAATGTGAAAATCGTGATTTCTGCTAAATGAGCATTAGTATACTGTTAATGAGAAATAGTCCAATTGTAATGAGTATCAAGCTTCCAATAATGAGCAGCGTGTTATTACAAGAAGGCTGATATCACAACTAAAAAACGGTGACATTTTCGTAATTTCAGTGAAAACCGCGGTTTTCGTTAGATGAGCATTAATACACTTTTAATGAACATCAAATGTATTCTACTGAGCATTAGGAGTCAAATAATGAGTATTGTGATATCAACTTCATATATTGTAATTCACTTTCTTTTTCTTATTTTTTCTTTTATAAAATCTCATTAAATTATATCTATAATCAATTCTTATGAATATCAATAAGTGAATCTAACATAATATGATACTTTTAAAATATGCATTGATATAGTATTTTAAAAATAAGCATAACATCGGTACCAATTGAGCAAATGTAACATATAAAATGAGCATTGATATGAAAATCGTAAGTTTTTTTAGTTGATCATGAAGACGTTTTAATTTAATTGAGTAACAAATCTCCTCTATTGAGTATTAGAATCATGCGGTTGAACATCATGATCTGTGTCTCCATGTCTATAATCAAGTCTTATATTAATATGGACATAACACTGGTACCTGATGGAGTATATGGCCCAGGAACCCCCGACCCATAGACTCCTACTTCTCCTGCACAAGTCCATTAAGCCTAGAGGACAACACAGGCCCAAATGCAACGGCCCAAGCCCCAAAGTAGCCCAGAATACACACTAGGGTGCCTTCGGCCTCCTTGGCCGAAGGCTCCAAAACTCACAGGATAGCCTTCTCTGGCATAAGAAGCTACTGGGAGAAAACGGCAAGAAACATGAGCCTTCGGCATTACCAAACCCTCGGCATCATAGAAGCCTTCGGCTGAACCAAGCCTTCGGTCACACAAGGCCTTCGGCTACACAGGGGTCCTTGGTCACATGGAGCCCTCGACTGAACAAGGAGCCTTCGGCCAGACGTGCTCAATCATCGAAGATTCCTTTTGGGGACAGCCAACTACCGCATTTAATGCTACGTCACATTCGCCAACCGCATTCAATGCGGTGAACGTACCACTGCCGGTGCCACCCGGCTGATGTGACCCCTCGGCCGTTGGATTACTGACACGTGTACTCTCATCGCATTTATTGCTGCTATAAATAGCAGCCTATTTCTCCTTGTAAACGATCCACATCCCAACTCGAGTTCATTTAATAAAATCGACTCTCTCTCCTCCTATTTACTCTGACTTCTCTCTAGTTATTCCCGCAATAACCCTTCGGATAAGATACCCCCCGGGTAGACTGTCCGTCAGTACCAAATGAGCATAAACAATTTACAAAATGAGTAACAACAAAAATAAAAATCTCATTTGTGTATGCACATTCATTTTAGGCGTTACACTTATTTGAGTTTAACATAAAACTCATTTATGATGTGCTCAATATTTATTTGTGTATGTGATAGAAGTGGTGTGAGCAAGCTCTAAACTGGTCGGGTGTATTTTGTTAGCATTGATATAACATTTTAAAATGATCATAATACAAGTACTCAATGAGTATGCATAATTTACAAAGTGAGTATTCAAAAATTTAAAAACTCATTTAAAATCTCATTTATATTATTAAGAAAAGTTGATTAGAAAAAATAAATAAATAAATAAATAAATAAATAACAAAAAAGCAAGGTGGCCAGGTGGGCATAAAATCATACGGAGTACATTTTATATTGCATACCTTTATAAATTAAAATTGATGAAAAGGGTCATTAGAAGAAAAAGAAAAAAGAAAAGAAAAAAATCAAAATAAAAATCTGAAGAGAACTAATGAGTGGCGTCACTGTGTCACAAATCCTTAAAAGAAAAGAGTGGCGTCACAACAAAAACAAATTAAATCAAAGTTTTTAGATTTTAGATTTTAAGGACAAGATGCAGAGCTTCTTCAGACTTCGGAGTTCCAGGATGGAAAACGACTCAGCTCTTTCGCTATTTTTTCCCCGGCATCAGCTGCGGTCATCAAAATATTACCAAAATACCCGATTGTACCATGAGCATGGTACAACCGGCTGAAGGATATAATTTGCCCTTAAATCATGCCATTATTAGTATTGTATTAGCAACGGAGCAATATTTTCATCTTAAGACCATAAAATTATTTTTAAATAACAGTTATGGCTTCAGATTCAAATTGGAAAATTTATGAAATGTTACAAAAATATTTATCAAAATCAAATGTCAAAAGTTATACTACCTCCATTTTTTGAAATATTCTACATTTTCATTTTATAGTTGTATTTAAAAGTTTCTACATTTCTCTTTTAGTACAATTTTTTTTTAGAAATATTCAATTAAGTAAACACCAACACTAAATGAGAATCATTCAAAATGTTTTTACTTGGACTAAAATTTGCTGATTTATTCTTGTCTGGTCAGATATGTTAAATGACTAATATCTGTGTATTTTATAATTGTTCAAATCTATTCTGATCTGAACTTAAACTGAAAATTTGGGCTAAATTTAAAACATTTGATATTCCCTCCGTCGCTAATAATTTTGTCAAGTTTGACTGGCACGATAATTAATAAAGTAAAAATTGTGTGGTTGAGGTTTGTGCAGAGGAGAGAGAATTAACTGGAACCACTAATTCTTTACTAAAACGGGAAAATGAAAAAGTTAATGGGACGTTCAAAATTCTTTACTAAAAAGGGAAAGTTGGCAAAGTTATAAGGGACGGGGAGTATATGGTATAGAAAACGTCGGCTAAATTAAAATGATCTTCACCTCGTCATACCAGCCTACCACCTCACCCACCAGTCATGCTAATTAAATGCCTAATAATAAAATCCCCTTAAATTTAGAAGTACAGTACACCCAACCCATTTGGATAACAACCCGGCAACTCTCAACTAACTTATCTACTTTTGTACGGAGGAAAAATATATTTATACACATAAATCCAAACTTTTATTCAATTTACAAAAATAATTTTTATTACTCAAAACATTCACAACAAAAATTTCAACTAGTTTGCTTCATTATTTTTTTTGTAATATAATGAAGCAAACTATAAATTAAATTTAATCTTCAATATTTTCATATATATAATAGAAATATTTCAACACATACTCTATATTTTTATTCCTTATCAGTACTTTATTTATATTCATCTCTGCAATTCATTATAATAGAGATTTCAAAGTAATTAGATATACTACATTACTACATAAAATGTCAATACAATTTATATGATATTCATTTCTAACTTAGTCAGTTTTATAAACAGATACTACCTCCGTCCCATTTTATGTGTCTTAGTTTGACTTGGCACGATTATTAATGAAGTGGTTGAAAAAGTAAAAGTTGTGGTTGAGGTTTAAGTATAATAAAGTGAAATGATGTAGGACACATATTTCTTTCCAAAAAAAGAAAGAAGACACTTATTTTGGGACAACCCAAAAACGAAAGTATGACAAATAAAATGGGACGGAGGGAGTATCTCTTATCATTTGAACGCATGAAATACTAAAGAACTATTGAATAAATATCTTTATATTCATATTTATGAAATTAAACTCTATATATGTCGTAAGTAGTACCCCTATGTCCCAAATTTAGTTACAAATTTGACTTTTTAGATCAAACACACTCATTTTATTCACTAAATTAGGATATCAATTTGCCCCTTTTTTTACAAATATTGCTAAATTATAAAAGAAAGACAAAAATGTGACTTATTTTAAGTTTTCCAAAATGATAAAACATATCCTTTATATTCTTTATTAAGTACCGAGTATTCACATTTACTGTGATTTTTGTATTGTATTTATTTTCATTAAAAAGCAATAAACTGTTCTCAGCCACCCCCACCACCGTAGCCATCACTGATGGCAGCATCATCGCTTCCGTCGTCACTGCTGGCGGTATGGCCGCCACCATCACTGCCGGAAGTATTACCACCGCACACATCGTTCAGTGACTCCAATCCTTAACCGGTCATTCTGGGCCGTATTATAGTGGCTATGTTGCCCGCTCACCCAGTGACTCACTCGCTCGTTGCCCAGTGATTACCACCGACCATGTTCTGTGACAACCGCCATCCATGTTCAGTGAAACCCATCGCCCAATTCTAGTGGCTACCGCCGCCGCCAACCGTCATTGACCACAGCCCCGTCCCGTGACAGACACCCAAGCCATTTACCACTGATTAGAACACATGTGCCCTCCCTAGCCCCACACCCCATCTCTTGCCCCCATAACCCAACTCTTGCCCCCATCCTCAGTCCCAAACCCCCTTCCCTGCCTCACGCCCATGCATTCCCCATACCCCCTACCCCCTCAGATCGACTGCTCCCCGTTAGTTGTCGTAGGGGTGACGCTCAAATAGAAAAGGAAGAAAAAGAGATAGGCGGTAGCATTTCGTCCCCGACCACAACTGCCTTCTTGACCGCGTTCCACAATCCTAGATGTGTACACTGCCGCCGCCTCGCCACATATCTCAACCGCTAGAAACCACGACGGTGAAAACAAGAAAGAAGAAGAAGAGCAGAGTGGTGGTGGCGGTGGGCGGGGAAAGCAACATTTGCAACGCCGACCGTCGATACACATGAAGGCTTAGTCGATCAACAGGGCTAGGTGGAGCTTCATTATGGATTTGCGGTACTAGGGGTGGTGTTAGATTGATGTCAGTAAAGCTAGGATGTGGTGCACTAGGAGGCTTATGGCAGTGAGGATCAGAGAAGACGGCGATGAATAAATGATGCAAGAATAAGTGAGGCGACTGCTATATTATACATGCTTATACGATGTATGAGTTAAGGTCAGAGGCTTCCTTATTTAGTTACTCAGTACTTTTTTGTCAAATTTTGAAGGAAAGAATGACCCTAATATTACTCCTAAAGTTTGTACAGACAAAAATATGACTAAATTTATTATTGACAAAAATGTGACGACCCCATTGTAACCATTCCGCACTTAGCATCGTTCTTCGTCGCTGCATCTATTCATCGTCATCTCCGCAGCTCATTCTTCTATCGATGGAGCAAAACTTGACCCATTGATCGAAGTCTTCAACGAGTACCTTCAGAGGACATCGATGTCCAACGTTGCAACCATCTTCATCGGCGGATGTGCGACGTGCGACGGCCAACGACATGCAAGATATGGCGAGTGAGGGTGACGTGCGACAGCCAGCGACGAGCAACCTCAAATCGGATTCCGAGTCATCTTTCGTGCCTACTTCTTCTTCCTCTTCCAATGTTGAACTGTCTTCTTCACCCACACCTTTTTCATCTTCTCCGATTTTCATTTTTCAAATTTGGGTGCGGCGCGCGCATAGGGCTCCATGTGGTTGTGGTGGTGCAATGTGCGGAGACATTGACGGGCTGGTGGAGTAGCGACGGATCTGGGGCAGGGGTGGAATAGGGGCCTGGGGCTCGTGTTGGGGAGACAGGTTGGGGCTGGGGCTGGGTAGGGGAGGCATGCTGAAGAGGATGGGTGTTACTAGGGAGGGGGCAGGGGACTGGCAATGGCAGTAAGGGTTGGGGTTGTAAGTGGCGTATGCAGAGATGGCAGTGGAAATGGGATGGCGGTGAAAGCAGGGTGTTGAGCGGTGTTATTGTGGCCGGAGACGGCGTGTCACTGTGACTTGAGGCGGCATGTCACTGTGGTCAGAGGTGGAGTGTGTGTCACTCTGGCAATCACAGTGACGCAGGCGGCGGAGATGGCACTGCGGAGGTGTGACTATGGCCAGTGATGGCGTGGTGTGTCATTGTGACTAGAGACGGCATGTCACTATGACTGGAGGTGACAGGGCGCGTCACTGTGGCGATCACATTGACATCGGCAGCAACGTCAATGACATTGACGACACATATGTCACTTTGGCCGGTAGCGGTGATCGGTGGCGGTGATACAGGCGGAGGCGGCAGCAGTGACATATGATAATGACATGGGAGTGGTGCAGTGACATTAATAAGCATTTTAGTCACATTTTTGTCCAAATGTAAATGCGGCCACTTTGTTGGAAATTAGCTTTTGTTTAGTACGAGTAATATTCAGGGAAAAGCCACATTTTAAAATTAGTCATATATTTCTCAATTAAAACTCTAGGAGAAACATTCCAATAATCTTTTCATATCAATTCTTAATTTAATGTTAATTTGGATTTTAAAACTTCATAAAAATTTTGAGTATGTAAATTTCAATTATTAAAATTGAATTTGATTATCAATAAGTAGAATTAACTTTAACATCAGTGGACCAAACACTTAATTTGCAAAACAATGGTGAGGGGATAGTATTTAATTAATTCTATATCTATATATAAATCTCTAGTTTCCCGAAATTCCCTTCCATAGTTTCATACCGTACCCTGCCGCCCGCAGAAGCTTTCATAAAACCATCGACATGTCGTCTTCGTCCATGGAACTCATCGAGAAGCACCGAGAGAACGCCGAGATACACACAGATCCGACGGTTTGCAAGGAGAAGGTCCTGGAGCTCCTCCGGGAGATCAACATGCCGTCGGGGCTCCTCCCCCTGGGCGACATCGCGGAGGTCGGGCGGAACTTGGAGACCGGATTCGTGTGGCTGAGGCAGAAGGCGGCCAGGGAGCACACTTTCGAGAAGATCGGGAAGCGCGTCTGGTACGACAAAGAGGTCACCGCCTTCGTCGAAGACCGGCGGATGAAACGCGTCACCGGCGTCCAGTCCAAGGAGCTCCTCATCTGGGTCACCCTCTCTTACATCCACATCCCCGACCCGGATGCCGGAAAAATCGTTTTCGCCACCCCTGCCGGCCTCTCCAGGTCCTATCAGGTCTCGGCGTTTGAAGACGACGACAAGAACTGAAGCTAGATCCACCGGGTCAATCAATAAACTGGAACACTCAAACCTCACCTCGCCGCTATATCAGTTCTCTATATTGCTCTAATTTTATAGATTCCTAAATGGTACAAATTCTAATTCCACATCTCTTCTCTACTTATTTCATCTTTATAGATATTCGACATTGTTCCATGCGTATGTATACCTTGTCTCCATTTTACTCGTACTTTAACGAATTTCTCTTGTTATTTGGAGCCCATTTGATTTGCTTTAATTAGATCTTATCACCAACGAGAAATCATTTTGTCCCAACACTCAAAACTTAACCAGCAAATCATCGATGCTTAAGATTTAGCTACTCTGAAAGACTAAAACATCCAAATAGACCACATCTAAAAAAAAAAGTGGAATTGGGGTTTTGGATTACAGTTGATCACATCTAAAAAAGAAAAAAACTATTTGTACTACACATTTTTTTGTACACAAACCAAAGTTGTCTCACAACGGTTGGAGTGTCATTTTAGGTCTTTTAGTCTGGCAGGCTAGATCCATGGAATTGAAGCACATGCTTTCTCACATTAAAAAGAAGGATATTAATATGATGGATCAATATATGTGTGAGATAAAGTTTAGAAATAATGACATGAATAATACTAAGGAGTTTTGGCTGGACAAAAATAGGACTAGATTTGAATTGGACAAAAAAAATCAAATTTTAAGCAATGGACCGATAGGCCCCTATCAATCTATCAGGCTATCGTCGAAATTGTCCGCTTCTCCCCAACCTACCCCTCCCGTCGAAACCATCTGCTTCTCCTAGATAACCATAGCCAGCCTCTCTCAGAGCTTACACCATCGATCGCCGCAGCCCCTTCTCCGCCACAGCCCCTTCACCGCCGCTAGTCCGCAACTGCAGCATCGCACATCACATCCCCTTCAGATCTACAACAAAGACCGAATCTACACCCCGCTTCTTCTCCTACCCTTTATTCAGACACGAGTTTGACTAGATCAACGATGAATCAAACGTTAGTTTCATATCTCGCAGTTGGTCGGGACAGGGATTCGGCGTAGGGTACGGAGCGAGTACGGTGCGTGGCTAGGGTTCGATCTATGAGTCTAGTGTGGCGGGCGGTTAGGGCTCGTTTGGTCGGTGTTGGATCTGAGGGCGGGGCACGAAGATGGGATTCGACGCTTACAGGGGGCGCGGTGTGGGGCTGGGGCTGCGATTGTGCAAGGTTTGGAAGAGGGCAGGGAAGGGCGACGTAGGGACGGGGCCGACAATGGCAGGAGTTGGCAAAGCTGGAGCTGGGTAAGGGCTAGAGACAGGGTGAGGAGGCTGGCCACTGGAGAGGGGAGGGGCTCACTAACAGAGCAGTTGGTTAGGGGCGGTGGGTGGCCGACAGTGGCCGACGGTGGCAAGGGGTTGGGGAGGCTGGAGCCAGGTTGGGGCTAGAGACGGGTTGAGGGGGCTGGCCACCGGAGAGGGGAGGGGCTCACTGATGGGGCGGTGGTCAGCAGTGGCCGGTGGCAGTGGCTAGCGTGCTGGTAACTGTAACCGGCCCATGCGGTGGCCGACAGCGGCTAAAGTGCGGTAAGTGTACCTTGTCGTGCGGGGATTGTAATTCAACAGTCGGGTCAAATAATTGTAATTGATTGAATCAAGTAACTATAATTTATCGGTTCGGTAATTGTAAATGGGTGAACCGAGTAACTATAAATGGTTGAAACGGGTAACTGTAATTGATCGGACGGGTAATTGTAACTGGTTGGGTCAGGCAACGATAATTGGTCGGATCGAGTAACTGTAATTGATCGGGTAGTTGTAACTGATCGGGTCGGATAACTGTAACTGGTTGGATCGGGTAATTGTAACTGATTGGATTGGGTAATTGTAACTTGTTGGATCGGGTAATTGTAATTGGTTGGATCGGGTAATTGTCACTAATTAGGTTATTATAATTGACGTTGAATAACTCTAATGGGTCGAGCCGGTTGAATAACTCTAATGGGTCGAGCGGGTAATTGTAATCGGACAAGTTATATAATTGTAAATCGTAACTGGTAACCGTAACTTGGATTATATGAAAAACATACCATATTTTTAATTTTGGAAGTTGCTGTTCGTAAAGAAAAAATGGAAGTTGCTGACCTGGTGTAGCATTTGAGAAGCATAGAAATGGGTTATGTGCTTGACAACGCAGGGGCAGAGTATTCATTAGTAATAGGGGCAACTTTGTTATTTCATCCTAAACTTTTTAAATGATTCACACGTTTGGTCCCTTTTTTGGCATTTACTTAAAGAGGTTTTAGATTTGTCAAAATGCTTTTAATTAGTAATACTTATGCCCTAACCCCTAAAGTTTATTGCTTACTAGATTTTCACCCGTGCAACGCACGGGATGCAATCAATAAGTAATGAATAAATTAAAAGAAAGGTAATAATAATTTAAAAGAAAAAATATAGTAAAAATAAAAATAACATAATGATATGTTTTATTAGAAAAGTAAATGAATATTAAAAATACAAATTATTATGCAACCCCTTGTAAACAACATTTAAAGTCCTTTTGGATGGTTGTCTGTCATCATCACATAATAAACTTCAACCCCGAAGGGTACATTAATCTTGAGACTGCGACGTAAAATTACAGATGGATGAAATTTGAACGACGTAAAAAACACTTACTTTCTCCAAGGACTGTCCCTGATTCTTATTGATTGTCATCTTGTAACTACGCATTAAAGGAAATTGTCTACAATGGAATGGAATATGAATGGTAGCATCAAATTAGAAGGTGTCAAGCTAAAAATAAGTTAAAACAACATTAATAATTATAATAAAGTGCATAATTCATTGAGAACATAAAAAGACTTGTATTGTTTCATTTTTGTTACCAAACAAATATGGTGTTTTTTCGTCAGATGCATTTTGAATGTCAATAAAGCTTTTCTGGTCATACGCATTCCCGCCTGCGAAGTGGATGGAGCACCATATTGATGTATGCATTCTTTAACCTGGATCATAGCCTAACCGGCGACATAATCCTCCACGGGAGCCTCAGCATCGCTGCCACCGTTTTCTATCTATGACGGTCATTTAGAATGATCAAACCTCGAAAAAGGCTAAAAAAAATTAAGAAAACACTAAAAAAAGAAATAGTTTTCACATTTAAATTGGGAAAATCAGGTAGATAATTTAAATTGGGAAAATCAGTTGATAGTAATTGATCTTTGAAATGTAGCCTCTTAATGTCGTATAGTAAATCCTTCTATATAGTAGAAAAGTACCATCTAGAATTCATCTAGCTATTGGGGGTTCTAAGCAACTATTTCATCTCTCCACCCGAGCGCCTTTCTATTACTTCTTAATTTCCTCTACATTTTCCTTAATTTCCTCCCCTGGCATTTGAGTTCCAAAAGGATACAAAAAGCATTGAAATTAAATGTTGTAGAGAGGGCTTTATTCTTATGGGAAAATGAGCATATAGTAGAACTGATTGAACTGAAACGACATGCTATTTACCAATCATCTTTCAAGCATTAGAGAGAATTATGAAGTCTCACCGGAAAATGCAGAAGGAAGAAACGGATATGGAAAAAGGGGAGAGGCTATGATCGAGGAGGTGAGATCTAAGGCGTACCCGATACCTCTGACCGAAATAAATTGAACGGCTGAAATTGCTAAATGATTTGAACGGGAATGACTTCTTTCCTCAAAATACTGCAATAATGTAGGAGGATTTTTCTAAATGTATTTTTTTTTTAATTTAAATATGACCCCTCCCCTTCCCTCCGAAGTCCCCCAACCTTTGAATGGTTGCACCAAACATCAACAATTATTAGTTTCAAACCATCAAACAGGTAGCATATACAAACTTTCAGTATTTATTTTTAAAGAAGAGAGCCATAGATGAGTATCATTTCTCCTGGGTTCAATTATAGCTGAAACATGCATGCTCAAAAGATCTTCTAAGACACATATCACTGTCATCCTTAAATAAGCAAATAAATAAACTATATGTTAGCTTATTTAATATGTATTATATGCTAAAAATGGCAGATAAATTACTATCTCGACATATCTTTTTTAAGATGTGTTGTCTATGTTTTTACAATGGATATATGAAAAACTGATACAAAAATAGCTGTGGATATGGCATAGCTTATTTATGATTACAAAACAATTTATCCATTGAAAAGAAGGATTTGTTTAGAGCACAACCCAGTTCTAAATGTATTTTGTGATTACTGAAGTCGAATCCATGACCACTCTCTGAAATCGATTGAACTTCGACGAAGGCCTGTAAAATCGGAACCAAGAGATCCCATGATCGTAATCTGACTGGAGAAATTTCATGCAACAGTTCTAGGAATATTTCTCATGGAGAGGTGAGAAATCCAATAAGATTTTAGACAATTTAATAGTACTCATCATGTCTGAATGTTCATTGAAGGTCTATATCTTATAGAGACTTCTAACATGTATTTGTAATGTGTATCTCCTACAAATTTATACACCTATTTTAAACTTGCATATTCTCAACAGTAAAATTTTAAACCATTTTCCAATTGTGATTTTATTACCCTTTTTTTTAGAACAATCAACCCGACGTCGGGTTTCAAATTTTCAATCATCTCTCCCGTAACTACTACCTAAACTTCTCCCTAACTGCGCATTCTGTTTCTGAGCAGCATGCCAGCCCTCCAAGGTTGGTGCTGCAACCCTCCAAACACCCTCTGCCGAGGACACAGCTCCCTCCCAGGCCACACCTTTTCTTTGATTCCAATCACTCCAAAGAAGCATGACAAATCTGCACTGTTTCTTCTATGTTAAAGCCCTAAAAGCAACCTCAAAGCAGCCCACAATTGATAAATCTCCACCTGCAATTGATAGCCCACAATTTGTTTTTGTGAGGTTTTGCCTCTTCTTTCTTTGGTTCCTCTTTTGGTTTTGCGGACTCTTTGGGCTGTGCAGCGGCCTTCTTTGTTGAAGGTGGGATAAATTCCGCTTGTTTAATCTCAGACAAGATTTTTGGAAAAATTGGCTAGTGAAGTAAGTGTTAGATGCAAGATGGGTGTATAAGGCTTCATGGGCTCTGTTCAATGCAGATACTGCATTCTCCTCAGCCTACATGGACAAACAAACATAATTTACATATACTGATTTAGGCAGAAAAAAGGGCTATATGTATAACAGCCAATAAATACTTATTAAAAATCTAGAATGTGTAATAAACACTCAAGGAATCCCAGTTCAAAAGAAATACAGAGTAACATTTAGTTCAATTCCTTAAAAATATGTAGAAACTTTTTCTAGTTTAAAAGGAACAACATTCTCTTAGATCCAAAAGCGAATCCCAAATCAAAATAAAATAAATAATATAGTCTAATTAATATTATAATGAACCAAGAGATGCTTTTTAGTAAGAAGTTCATCACAGACAAATTAGTTCAATGCCTCAAAGATATGTAGAAGCTTTTCCATCAGAGAACTTAAAGAATAAAAATTTCCTTGCAGTAGTTAGGGAATATGTGAAGATCTACTACTCAAATAAGGGATCTTTGTGACTATGATATTACACTAACAAAATATATAGAAACAAAAAATGATGATGTAAAAGAGAAACAAAGAGATAGAGAAATACTTTGGGTTAAGACTCAACTATTAAAGAGCTGAATTGATAAAAGATAAAAAAGAGAGACATAAAATAGGATTATCAGAAAATTAAAATATTGTGGTACTATTATAGAGTAAGAATATCACAACTAATTAATGAAATCTAACATGCTATAATTTCAGTGGATAATTACAGGAAAACATAAAATAAAATTTTTATTCACATTTATCATCTAAAAAAAGAGAACAAAGAAACAAAACCCAAAAGAATTGAAATGAATAAACAGTGTGGCTTATTTTAATTTAATTTTTTTTTGTATTGGAATGAATAAATAAGAAACAGTTTAGACACATACTTAACATACAAAAATTGAAATGTACGTCCCAGGCTCCTGGCTTAAAAATGGTCATTCATTGTGATATTTAAGAAAATCAGTGCATAATAATATTTTAGGAAAGTATAAGAAAGTTACATTGGAGTGCTTAAAATTGCGGGTTTGAAATAGGGTGAGATTGCTCTAAATCACCAACATAATTGAAATTCTAATGAGGTTGGAGCCTTTACTCTTTATTAGATATATTGAATCAGTAAATGGCAATGAAATATAACAACTAAGACAACTTGAATGAA